CAGTCTCAGGTATAAAATTACGCACCTCTACACACCACGGGTAAGTATTTGGACCTCACGGAGCAGGCTTATCCTTTCCATCTTAATTATCTGACCCCCAGGTTAGCTTGCATAAAACCTCAATATGGAGCAAAGGGAATTCGGAGATTAAAACGCTGTGTTTCTGAAAAAGCGGCCGCATTTGAAGCTGACCTCAGCCAGGGATTTACCCGTCTCATCATATGACGTCTACATTTCAACGAGCCCTATCTTGATGATGATCAGCGTTATTAAAATTGCAGCTCTCAGTGTTATCAAATCTTCAGCAAAGTGAGAGAAAGAAAATAAAAAGTTTTGTCTTAATCCAAATTACATCATTAAACAGTTGTTTTTTCCTTTTTTCCCAGAGTGCTGACTTTGTCTGCAAGTCCCATTACACTGTTTATTTAAATGAATGCCTCACACTTATCAGTGAATAGATAGGCTGCTGTTTCCTCAAGTAACCAGCAGTGAGTCATGATCCCTCACATTGCAGAATGAGGCTACTTTATTTTTCTGTCTATTAAATCCTGATTGGGGTCTTTTTCTAGCCTCTGAATGACTCAGTGTGTCATCTAGACCTCTTTCAGGGTCTCACTTTCCCACCCCTGATGCGGTGCACCAAAGCACCTATCCTACAAAGTGTATGTGGGGGGGGGGGCGTTGCTGAACATGCACAAAGCCTCATGGCAAAGGGAACAAATGGATCCATCAGACAAAACGCTGTGAATAAAAGAGGCAAATAAAAGGCAATGAAAGATAGACTGAGATAAAAGGTGCACTTTTTTTCCAGGCACTTCAGTTGATGAGCGGTCAGGAGGTGACTGTCTATACTCCTGTGGCTCCGGTCCGCCTCAAGGAGCGGAGCCAGGAACAGCTGTCACCGCGTTTCCATTCCGCCGTTTTATTGTGTTGTAATTACAGCAGAGGCCTCCGCGCTCTTTCAGCTCTCTCAGGAGGTGCCACCCCCTCAGCAGCAGCTGAGAGTGTATTAAGTACTATCAACCCTCGCTGTGCGCATTACGCATTTAAAAGAAAGAAATGATGGTGTGCCGCCAAATACTCTTTGAGTTTGCCACTGCGATTTAACTCTGCAGCTAGGAGACTCTTGTTCTTTTATTACTTTCTGAGCCTGCAGAGACCTACTGTAACTCATTCAAATAAATCGGTATCAAAACAACCGCATTAAAAACTATCTCAACAACAAACCCCCATTTCAGGAACTGGATACATTTGTAAAAGTATTCAAAATACCTTCCCCTTGGCATAACTTTAAATCTATCTTTGTACTTCTCTCTTACATGATTATTCTAGGGTCGCACTTTGGTGCCGACCCTTTCAATCCTTACTTTTAATTGCCTGTTGCTATCTAGGAGCTGAAGCTTATTCTACTGTTGCAACCAGTGTAATGTGCTCTGCAGAAAACCACAGTAAAAATGTAAAGGGAACGATTTGAAAATGCAGCTGACTAAAAGCCATGCAAAGAACAAACACAAATCTAAACATGCATAAAACCACAAACTATTAAAACAAACATTAAACAGCTTTACAATGATTTTAAACCTATACCTGGGATTTGTCCATATTTTATAATGTGATGGAACTCAATGTTTGACTTTTGGTGCTAGATGAAAAGTCACCAAGAGGATGAATCTCCAGATGTAATGACATTCAATGCAATAGTTGATCAGAAATTTTACTAATATTTGGGGGGCAGTAGCTCAGTCTGTAGGGCTTGGAAACCAAGGGGGCGCAGTTGGAGTTTTTTGCTATCCTGGCTCCAAAATGGTGGAATGAGCTCCCCATTGAAATCAGGACAGCAGATAGCTTGCACATCTTCCGGGGGAGACTGAAAACTCATCTCTTTCGACTCCACTTCGATCGATAGAATTACTAACAAAGAATTGCTAACAAAGCACTTACATACTAATAAAGGGCTGGCTTATCTAAAGCCAGTTGAGTAGCACTTGACATGTTTTAGCTCTATGAAACCCGATGTACTTATATGATTCTGTTTTCTTCAAGTTTGTATCTTTTTGGTCGCACTTATTGTAAGCTGCTTTGGATAAAAGCCTCAGCTAAATGCAATGTAATGTAATGGAGTTCCGATTGGACCAAAATACGGAGCGTTGACTCGTAGATGTCTGTCACTCTTTATAGAATTAGTGTTACAATACCATTATTCCAACTCACACAGTTTCAGCCCTAATGGACTCTTTGGGAAATACCTTTCAGTTTGCATCCTGGGCACTGCTGAGGTGTCCTTAAGCAAGGCCCTGAACTCCCAACTGCTCTTTACAAGGATCACTAGTCACTCGGAAGGATTCATCCTCTGGGCACCATGAATAAATGCACAAACTTGAATGGCAATATACTCAGTTGTGGTTGAGATACTTCAGTTTGGAACAAAGAAGAATCAACATGCCATTTCGAGGCAGCAGGCCAAAAAGCATCAGCATTTGCATAATTCATAATTAAACTTGCTGCATTATGTTTTACAATTTTAATTATGAGTCCCGCTTGGTCTACAGGTGCTCGAGGAGGGATCGGTGTTTGAGGGCGGAGGAGGCTTTCCGTTTCGCCACCGACATTGATCGCTGTGTGAAGGTCATCGCTCACCCCGACAGCATCGCTGTGTCAGCACATAGTGTCCCTGTGAGTCTGCTTATCATCCGCCAATCTGTCACTCCACTCACAATGTTTATGAGCAATCACTGAGAGTAGCCTTGTACAGCCACATGTATAGTAAGAAAATACTAGAAGCAAAGATTAGTTTTGTGAGAGGGTGTTTCTCCCTGTAGGACACCAACTGTATTTATTTTTGGTCTGAACACATGCACTGTGGGATGAAGGATAAATGTGAGGGGAAAAAATGAAAAAAGGGTGGGAGTTGTTTTTGAAGCAGTGAGCCGCTGTGTCTGCATCTTTGATTTATCCGCCAAAAGGTTGATTACATTTCCTAAAAGCTTAATTCAACTGTTTATTTTACAGTAGCCAGGAGCACAGAGAAATGAAGTACAGTAGGAGTTGAGGATTATTTTAAGGGAATAGTTCAACATTTTGGGAAATACACATTCCTTCTTGCCGAGAGTAAGATGATTAATAGCACTTCTGTATCTGTCTCTTAAAAGTGCTGCTGGAGCCTACAGCTGGTTAGCTTAGCTTTGCACAAAGAGGCAGCTAGCCTGACTCTGTCCAAACATAACAAACCCTGCCTACCAGCACTTCTTCAGCTCACTAAGTAACGTCTCATATCTTGTTGGTTTAATCCGTAGAAAAGCACAAGGGTAAAAACAACAGAATATGCTTTTACAAGCTAGTGTTGTGCCAGACTATTTCTAAGCCAGGAGCAGTAACTTCCTTGAATCCATTTGATCGGTTTTACAAATTGGCCTTCGTAGGGATTATACAACAACAAGATTGAACTTTTTAATTAGTAACTTAAAGAGGTGCTGACAGGAGAAGTTTGTTGCCTTTGAAAAAAGCAAAAAGGCGAAAGAAAAAGCAGTATCTCTAGGTTTATAGAACTTTTCGAAAAAAGGGAGCTAAAATAAGCCAACCATCTCCTGGCTACAGCTTCATATTTAACAGACAGAAAAGATAAGAGCAGCAAGAAAACGAAAAAACTACTTTTCCAACTAAAAAAATATAATTATACTTTAATGCCAAAGCCCTGCCACAGTATTCACTAAGTTCAGAACATTACATTGTATCCCTCACTTTTTCTTTTAGCTTCTGCTGGAGGTGAATAATGTTCCAGACCTTTCTCCTGGGATCACCTGTTCCTTCGGAGAGCAGGCTGGAGTGGAGGGTCATGTCAACGGGAACAGGGTTATGTGTCTATCCCCGGCTGGGAAGGAGGTCCCTCGGATACCAGAAGGACAAGGTGAGACAAACATTCACCCACTGAATTTGCATTTCATAAATGTATCCGGAAGAGCCTACCCGAATGCATGCGACAGCCTCACAGTATGCATAAGGCATATGTGAACATCCTCTTCAGGTAGCGGCATAGCTATCCTTGGTAGAGGGTTCGGCCTTTGCTTATAGAACTAGGGTTACAATATGTAACCATCATCATATGCCACATTCATCCAAAAAAATGGAAATGGACCACCTTGCATTTTTGTTTATCCTAAGAGTTTGATAAGTACCAAGGAGCAGTGGAATTTTCTCAGAGCATATACAGTAATCCTCCAATTGAAGTTTATGACTGAAGGTTTTCTCACGACAACAGCAATGTGCCCTTGCAGAGACGCAGACACCAGGTGGCTCTTTACAAAAGTGTGATAAAAGTATTAACATTTCTTCTCATTTTGACCTCCTTTTCTCGCTCCTTATTTGTGTTCCTTCACCCTTCCTTTTTTGTCTGTCTCTGTTCCTCTTTCCCACTGTTGTCTCTCTCTCTGTCATTGACGCTTGCATATTATTAATTCCCTCTTTCGGCCTTTTCACTTATTATCCTCCCCCTCCCTCAGACTGGGCCGGCGTAGAGCTCCGTCTAAACTCAAAGGAGACGGGTCGAATGGTCGCCAGCACGGAGTTGAAGTTCTACAACTGCAGCACCCATCAAACGTGAGTCCAGCTGCCAGCTCTCACCCCCCCCCCTCCCCCCTCCACGCTCTGATTTGTTCAATAGATGGGAGAGCATGACTTAATTTAGGGCAATGATGTACTGATGCTCACAACTCCACTTAAGATCGGGCTGTTAGATAACCTCTCAGTTCAATTTATCTGTCAGGTTTCATTTCAATCAACATGATGCATTTGCCATGGCCTGTTTGTTGCGACTTTGCTTAAACTGGCAGTCAGTGGGCGGATTGCTTACAGCTCTAAATAAAGATAACTACAGTGCAACCCAGTGATATTTATTTTTATTAAACCCAAAGCAGATATATTTTTTTTTAAGGGTTCTTTTTTGGGGTTTTTTCATTTATTGATAGTACAAATAGATAGGCTTCTTAAGGCTCTTTTCATGCAATATACCTTATACATATTCACAACTGTAGACGCAGAGTGTGCTTTGCTGTAGGCCAGCAGTCCCAGAGGAGCCCTGAATAGATAAGAAGTAGACTCACAGATCTCTTTCCTGACTTGATTTGGTCCCAAGTGACCCTGACAGAGTTTGTTTGTTTTAAGATATTAGATTTAGATTTGTAGCATTGCTCCAGTGCCTTGAGGGCAAATAAAGTAATGTAAATGGTAGAGTACTTTATTTAAATGCTCTTCTGTTTTGTCTTGCTAATATAGGCTTCCTGACTGGGCCTTGACTTTGAGCCATTATGCTAATGTCAACTTTTTTCATCCTAACTTTAAATGACAAGAGTGTTTCCATCTGAATAGTAATTCCATACACTGGGTGGTTCTTATTAGGATGAATGCCAATTAGCAGCATTTGTCAGCCCTAAAATATGTCAGTGAATCAGCACTTTCAGAGTTCTCACAGCTTAACAAAGCTCCGGAAAGGCTAAATCATACAATGTTGAATTAATAACTTCAAAGACCTTATCATTAGAGTTTCCATCTTGTGTAATAGATGAGAGGGGAAGTCAAATGTCCTTACTTTTTTTAGGTGTTGCTGCCCTTTACTAACCTTTAACTGTGCTATAAATTATACCGAAAGATGAAGACTTAAAACTGAATACAGGAATAAGTTCACTCTAGAATGGCACACTTGATTGCATGGTGTTTTCATAGCCAAACCCTGGAAATTAGCTCACAGTGGACGCACATGCCACGTATTCAAAGCGCTCTTTGACTGCAACATGAATGCCCTAATATAACCATATTAAGCCATTAGAGAGAAACAGTCGGGAGCTCATCACATCCGCACCGCAAAAATACAGCCTCCATTAGCTGCGGAGTAACCCTGTGAACTCCTGTGATTAATATTTCAAACCAAACACACTCCTTACCCAGCACCTCTTCCTCCACTACCACCATCACATCAGGAACACATCACCCTCCATAATTAATTATCCAGTGTTTAAAGCTCTCTGCCAGTCCAGTTCTATTAATACCCGACCCCCATAAACATATTTCTCTCTCTCTACACACACACACACACACACACACACACACACACACACACACACACACACACACACACACACACACACACACACACACACACACACACACACACACACACACACACACACACACACCTATTATGTCAATACTGGCCTTGGGCAGCTAATTAATATCAAAATGTAATGGTGCTGCACTGCATTTATTGACATTTGTAGCTTGCTATGAGCCGCAGTATTGGAGTTCTGCTAGTGGTTTTTATAGTTTCCTTAGGGTTTCATTTTATTGCATGACCAAATTCAGGAGAACAGACTTTGAAAGTGCATAGATCTGTTTTCTGCACAGTGGTACACTTCTATTATACACAGCCAAGCCTGCGTTACCCCCCCACAGGAAAATAGGACATGTTCAATTTTCAGCTCTCCAATTGCTTTGTCTGGTTTATCAACAGCTGTGCAGCACACATCTCTGTTCTCTCATCTTTTCATCTCCCAGTTCTACACCCAAAGTTGTATGGAAATGCAGCTCCCCGTCTGCTGAACGAGATGGATTAAATCCAGTCTAACAGGGTTACTTCAGCTCAACTCTAATCCATAACTGACCGTTGGCTGCAGTTCACTGAATCAGAGCCAATGTGTTGTGCAATTCTACCCATCAACTATTCTGTTTTCCTTTTCATTCATGTTGTTGATAATCCAGAATTGGACGGGTTAGATGTTCTGTTTTTATTGCAGTCAAAAATGACTATAAAAGGCAAGGGTTTGTTAAAAAAAGCTTCAATGTATAATGTCATCTCAGTACAAGGTATTCCCAGTACATCTTTTTATGCAACACTGTTTAACTTTTAATTGCTTAAAAGTGCTTCAATGACAGACGCACTTGAATGGAGCTTTCCTGAAGTGACTTCATAATAAGGGTCATATATTGTCATCTATGAGAAAAAGGCTACCATTCTTTGCTGTCTGCATAGGAAAATGGGACATCTGATCTTTCAAAAAAACACACTGGCATGATAAATTCAACAGAAAGCTTAATCCTTCATCAGTCTCCCCTTTAAATCCTCTTACCCTGGAGAGGAAATAAAGCAGGATTGATTCTTCTTTTAATATACTGTTAATGAAGAGCAACTCCATAAACAAGAGGCATTATTTAAATGTTCCATGCCATGAAGTGATGCATTCATTTCCTCCTGCAGGTGTCTGTCCTGTGTGAACAGCACTTTTCGCTGTCACTGGTGTAAATATCGCAACCTCTGCACCCACGATCCCAGCAGCTGTTCCTTCCAGGAGGGCAGAGTCAACGCCTCAGAGGTAATGTACATTCCCGCTACAATCTCATTAGCTGATTAAAGTGTAGCTTTCAAGAGCAACATTAATCTATTGCTGTGTGACACTTTTACCTCAAACACACAATCCATTGATCGAGATGTAAAGATAAAGCTCCACTAAAGAATCAAGCAGACAAAGCTCTGCTAGCAGCTCTAGAGGCACAATGGGGATTTGAGCTCAATGCTAGCATCACATGCTAACCTCAAAACTCAAAAAAACTGACCTGATGATGGCGCTATGTGAAAGGGGGGGGTCATCTTTATTTCCTGAGAGGGACATGAATGGATGTACCAAATGTCATAGCAAGAAGTTAAATAGTTAAAACTTGTATTAAAAACGACTAGAGGTAAAAGTCAGGCAATTATCTTTTAGAAACCACAATTACTGAGCAAAACTTTAGATTTTTTTTACCTTTAACTGAATAAGTGAGAACTTTGACCTGCTGATGGGTCTAGATTAAAGATCAGAGGACTATCAATATACTATTAATCTACAGGTACCATGGACATTCAAACAAAAATACCCATCCAGATAGTTTCGATATTTCAGTCTGAATCAAGGTTGGACTGACTGACTGTCATTGCCAACCTGAGAGCGACACCGCTATAGAGCGGTTTAGGAACATTTATCGCGCCCCTGAGAGAAGAAAATAGTATTGACTTTACCATAGATAAACAAATATTAAATATGTCTTCTGACACGGTTTACTGTTGTGGGAAGTGTAATATGTGGCATATGAATGCAAATTATATTTGGATTAGCAATTTGTTTGCCCCATTAATCCCTGTGCTACATTAGTCCTTCATGTTTATATAATTGTGACATGTACTAATACAGATTACATAGTAGAGAGACAGATAGATGCACATATACAAAGCTAGTATACAATGGATATAAGATATCATAATTTCTGAAGGGAAAACAAGTTATTAAATACTATTTATATATTATGCATGGGTTATTATTAGGCTTGGCAACATGGACATTGGACAACATAACCAAATGCATGTTTTCTTACAATTAAATGTGTTTGCTTTCTGCTTTCACAGGACTGCCCTCAGCTCCTTCACTCCGGGGAGATTCTCCTTCCGGCCGGTGAGGTCCGACCCATCACCTTGAAGGCCCGGAACCTTCCCCAGCCGCAGTCGGGCCAGCGGGGCTACGAGTGCGTGGTGCATGTGCAGGGTGTCAGGCACCGTGTCACGGCGCTGCGCTTCAACAGCACCAGCGTGCAGTGCCAGAACAGCTCGGTATGACCTCAAACACTCCCAGTGGGAGACTCACAGCTGTCAAATGAGGCAGACAGCTTGGATGCTGTGTAGGCAAGGTACACAGGGTACATCAGTGAATACCGCCTGAGGTGTTGAGCACACTGAGGAAAAAGTAGTGGAAAGGGAAAGCGAGATTGATAAGGTAAGGTGGAAAGCATTTGAGAGATAGGAGACTGACAGGAAAGGAAGAAACGAAAGAAGAAAAAGGAAAGGTTTGGTTTAAGCATAAATAATTGAAAACCATTACTTCAATACCGCCTTGTCTCTAAGATAAATTGTCTGAGTAACATATAGGTGTTCACCAACCGTGAATGTGATGACTTTGACATATGGAAAGTCCCAGGTTTGGGATGAACACAGAGATTTTTGTTGCAGAATGCAAATCACAGGCTATATTTCCATGCAGAGCATACCTTGCTCCTGTGTGACAATAAATGAAAAGGCCATTTTCCTCAGATGTGGATGATCAGCCACCCCAGCCAGGGTTTGCGTCCCCACATGTCAAAGAGGAGAGGAGCAGACAACCATGGCAGAAATGACAGATGGTTAAAAGCCTCGTCTCTCTTCTGCCCTTTCATCCCTCTCATTTTCCTCCACTCTGTCTTTCTCTGTATCGTTTTTTTTTTACTCAAACCTCTCTCTCACTTTAACTTTATCTTTGTCTGGATCCACTTACCGCACTCTCTCTCACTCTCTGTTTTTCTGCTCTTCAGTACATGTACGAGGGTGTGAAGATCAGTGACCTGGCAGTGGACCTCTCCATCGTATGGAACGGCAATTTCATCATCGACAATCCCGAGAAGATTAAAGGTGCCTCTGCAATCCATCACTGCCAGGCCAAAGAAGTGTAAAGCACTCAATCCACAGGGGATATATGGGTCATAGCGACCGCTCCGATGTTCCAAAAAGGCCTTGAGATAAAGTTCACAATAGCAAGGACTGTTATCAAAAAGCACCCAATCACTCGTGTGGGTGAAGGGTGAATCTTCATATTTGCTAGGTCTGGCTCTCACAGCTGCTCTTGTTTTCCTCTCCATCAACATCCAATAAAAGCTGTTCAGTTGTCATTGGGGGCTGTACATTAAATAAACCCACTTAGCCATGGATATACACGGAGATGGCCCTGAATTTCAACAAGCCTCGTCATTACTTAGGGAAGTTACTTTATATGGGCATAAATATCAGCTGCTTACAGGAGAGGAGGTAAGAGACAGACTTCAAAGAAGAAGGGATTAATTCGGCATATGATTTCTGAGTACTTGGAGGAAGGAATTTCCCCAAATATTCTATTCATTTATTTTTATTTTATTCTCAGGTTGCCAGTGGTTGAAGCCAGTTATTTTTGGAGCTGAGTTTTTTCAACTTTTGGTTGATCAGTTTGATGAACAGGACATATTATGCACATTTTTTGGTTCATATTTCTATTTTTTGCCTCTACTGTGACATTTTAATGTTCAAAAATATCTTTATTTGTCTCATACTGCCTGTGCTGCAGCACCTCTTTTCACCCTCTGTCTGAAACCAGAGCCCAGTCTGCTCTGATTGGTTAGCTGGCCAGCTCTGTTGTGATTGGTCAACCGGTTAGAGATGTCCCGACACGGAGTCCAATTAAATCAAATTATAACATGACTACCTGATGGTGTTCCCATTGTATAATCTATGGTTGACATTTGCATACAACCTATTTATAGCAGGCATATTCTTCGGAAACATCAATATTGAAATGTGAAAAAAAGAGTTGATGTTAAAACTGATCTTAACTGTCTTATGTGTTTTCCCACAGTGCACCTCTACAAGTGCAGCGCCCAGCGGGACAGCTGTGGCATGTGTCTGCGGGCGGATAGGAAGTTTCAGTGTGGGTGGTGTAGCGGCGAGGGCCGATGCACCATGAAGCAGCACTGTCTTCCCATCTCCCCCTACGCTAGCCGCTGGCTGGACCTCTCTGCCAGGAATGTCAAGTGTACCAACCCACGCATTACTGAGGTCAGTTTTTTTTTTTTTTTTTTTGGCTGTCGCCCAGTCAGTCAGTCACTCACTCAACCAGCCTCAAATACAATGTGCATTTGTGGGATGTGAACGTCTTTTAGGGTGGTGCATCTTCACTGGTCTCACGATTCGATTACGATTATCCTGTCAACGATTCGATTCGATATCCCGATGCATAACAATGCGGTGCATCCTCAATTTCTTCTTTTTCATCAATGAATACATGCAGTAAGATAAATATGAACTCCCTTTTTATTATTTAGAAAGTGTGTCAGAAATCAATAACATAAATGTCTTGACATGAAATTATAAACCAAAGTAAACCAATGGTATAGGTCTAGCCTCCCTATATCTGTGTGTGAAGTTGTTCCATCCTCAAAAACAAATACTTCGGCAGCCTAGCTGCAGCATCTAGCAACGGTATTCTGCTCAAAAAAGGACACTGAATGTGGCATCACTAATATGACTTGAGTCTGAACACAGCAGGCAACAGGAGTATTTACAACAGCATATAAAAACTAAAATACCGCATGTGGGTGCACACTTACATTCTCTGTCTTACTGTTACATAAATCCCATGATTGTAGGGGATTAAGTTAGCTTCATCATATCAATCAGTGATTAAGTGAGTAATAAAGTTTCTATCAGGTCACTATCAGCCTGTCACTCATTATTTTCGGGGGGGGGAGGGGAGTTTGGAGCAGCAGAGAGAAGACGGTGTTCGCGGAAGCTTTCCTCCTGCCTTCACAAACTTTACACACGTGTTTATCGTCTGAAAATAGCGAGAGGACATTCATACTCTGCAATCCAACACTTGATTAAATCCACCAAAAACTTGACATTACGACAACGAGTGTTTTTCAAAAACATAAATCGATGTGTGTCTCTGAGCCGCAGCGACACGGGCTGATTCAGAGCAGGTCATTCTGCTGTTGGTTCTGGACTGGTGCTTGTGTTGGTGGAGAAAGCAGACTGCTCTGTG